AAGACACTCTACCAAGCCACAAGACAAGCTATCAAGCCACAAGACAAGCCACCAAGACACTCTACCAAGCCACAAGACAAGCTACCCAGCAAGGTCAACATCCACGTATCTGACCTTCACTCAATGAAGAAGTTAAACAAAAATCAAGATTCTCTGTACTTACCAGATAGTATTGTGGCTCTCTTGTAACCTTAATAAGAGACCAATACAATAACTCAATTTTAAGCATTTTGACATCTGAAATTACAATACCTATCAATCTTTATCGTAAATATACATTATGGATATTTCATTTTACATTTGAATTAACAGTTTATCACTAATTGTTATTGGATTCTCAGAAAACAAGAAAAGTAAAACTGTATTTCATCTCTGCAGTCTGATTCGGTACGAGATCAGTTACGAAATCCCGCAAAAAAATATCAGTCCCACTCGAAGTTTTATCAGTCCAAGTTTTATCATCAAAACACCAGGACTAGGGTTAGTCCACAAGCAGCAGACGAAATGCTTCAATATTAAAGAGGGTGTGCACGTACTCTCTCCCTACTTGCATCGACTATGGAGTTGACTGGATCCCTCAAACGTCTCTGAACATTTACACCACAGATCTGCTGAAAGACTCACTGCTAGCCATTTCAGTTTAGGAAATGTAACTTAAGATTGAACGACATTTACACCATAGTTCTGCTGGTGGAGTGACTGCTACCCATATCCAGTTTAGGAAATGCAACTTAAGATAGATGCAGGAGAAAGGTCTGCTAGATCTATGGGCCCCGTTATCAGCACGCTCAAAATAAAGGTCAGGGTATCTCCTCCCAGGCCTAAACGGTCAGCTGTGTGAAGCGCTAGAGAAAGTCGAGAGTTCCACATACCTCGGATCGCTATAAGGACACTCCTTCCTTCGATCCTTCCCCAAACCCTCTTTGGAAGCACCGCAAGGGATGTTTCAGGGCGACACGAAAGGTCTGCCGTGCATCTGTATGTCCCATCCTGCTGTAGGCTTGTGTGACCAGGCAGACTGCAGTTGCCTGAACCGGCCTACATCACCCCACACCGATTTTTTTTCACTGTCTGCGGTATATCTTTCGAATTTGTTACCAAGACCCTTACCTTCAAATGGTTATCTTCCTCAATTCCAGGAATATGATAAGTGGAGAGATACATGTGATAAAGAATCATAAATGCACTATATAATGATTATGAAAACCTTCACCCCTCTCTTCCTCATGCTATATCTTATCACGCATATCCACATTACCAAGAAAATGACAAAAAAAAAAAAAAACGAATAACCAGAAACAAACAAACAAAAAACATAATAGAAATAACGTATTATCTCTTAATCTGTGTTCTTATCATCCACTGTCCTCACCTCTGACTCCCGTTTTCTGTGACCGTCGCTCTTCAGGGGAAACTCAACGATTCGCCCGTTTTGCGATATTTTCTCGATAAGAAAAGTCAGCTCGAGCTAAATGCAGTTGTTTTTTGCTGTTATTATTGTTGTTGTTTTTTTGTGAATATTGTTATTATCATTGTCATTATCATTATCACTATAAATAATGAAGAAAATATAATGTTATTAAATGCTGCTCTAATGATTTAATGCTGATGTTATTAAAGCACATGATTGTTAATGTTAGTGCTGTTAATTCATCATAAAATTAATGTTATAAATGTTAATAATTTATCAAAATTTTCATGTCATTCATCTATCATGATACATACATACACACACACGCATGTATATGTGTGTGTATATATATATATATATATATATATATATATATATATATATATATATATACACACACACACACACACACAACACACACACACACACACACACACACACACACACACACACACACACACACACACACACACACACACACACACACACACACACACACACACACACACACACACACACACACACACACACACACACACACACACACACACACACATCACACACACACACACACACACACACACACACACACACACACACATATATATATCAGAATATTATTAGTTTAGGATATTGCTATCAATTCCCGTCTCAATCCATCGATATCATAAGCATCATTATAATGTTAATATTAACATCTATCTTCCACAGCAATAAATAGATAAATTGCAATATCAGTTATCAATATCAATCCTTTAGTGTATCATATCACAAATTACAATGTATTATTGACAATACTGACAATAATAATAAATATGATTATAATAATGATACAAAAATGATGATGATGATAAGAATGATAACGATAATAACAGCAGCAATAAAGAAATAACATTAATAATAGATGATTTAACAACTGAAAATGTAAAAAAAAAAAAAACGTAAATCCAATAGATAAGGTTGATTTATTTTTCTAAATTATCGAATATATATAATTGAAAATTGAAAAAGTTTATATTTGCATTTCGACTTATGCAACCAAAACATAAGATCCTCAATTAATGTGTGGTGCAAATAAAAAATAAAAATAGGATGACTCTTTTAACACAAACAAATGTAATTGTAAAATAAACAAATAAATATTCACATCCTTTTCCAGTAGAGGTTCTAAAACTAATTTGGTGTCGTTACCCTCTCGACATTATTGCTAATGATCGCCAATTTCCCATTTTTTAGTCAACTTAAAGGAGAGAAAAAAAAACTTATTTAGATGTATATTTAATCGGCAAAGAAATTATTTTACATAATCTTATTAATCATAAATATTACTTTCCTATGTGATTAAGAATTGGTAAGTGTCAACTCTGCTCTTTTAAATTTTGGAAAATGTCTTTTTTTTTTTTTTTTTTTTTTTAATCAGTAGGTTTTCTCGTTAGCGACACTGAAAACATAAAAAAAATAACATAACAAATCGGGAAAAACCTTAGATTAAGAGATTTTTGCGGAAAAGCCAAAATATAATGTTCACATGTCGTTCTGGGATTTCTTTCCCGCCAAATATGGGTAAAAATTAATAAAATTCACCCCCAACAAGCTTCTTTAGCCCCCCCCCCCCCAAAGACCTCCTTGTGTTAAGCTAGTGTTATATTGACTTCTTTATTAACATGGTATTGTCTTCAGTTCCCTGACATACGTAGGCAGCATTCACCCCTGTCGTAGCCGTATGAATGACATACATACAATAAGAAAGATTGTATTCAGCAACACGTTTATCCAAATACCTATTCCAATGCCAGTGCACCAACAACTATCCTGAGTTGGATTCTCCACACATGGTGTCTGTGTTGGAGGCGCATCCGTCGTTTCGGGCATAAAACGTGTGGTACTTGGCACTGTAAGGATTGTCTGCACGGTGTTCTCCTTCGAGACAGAATGAAAGCACACTAAACAACTGTCTACACGACTCTCGTCTCCCGGTTTATTTCCTGTAGCACACTCAACGTCAAGGAGCAACAACAACATGTGTAAGTTGTTTGAAGTGGCGTTTCTCTCCACCATCACACAGGGTTCTCTCTTGACGATGTAACTTTGGCATCGTTTTAGAGTCTTCAACTGGTTCTCGAATAAAGTTATGTTTCCTATGCAATCGTCATGCGTGTTGTTCAACAGGCAATCGTTCTTTACATCTTTACTGCCTCCTATAGGTACCCACTCGAATGCGCTGTTCGTGTCCTGTTCTATGTTCTTGCAGAGCGGAATGCCATCTTCCTGGAAAAAAAAAAATCAGTTGGTCCGGATTCGCGGAAATCCATATATACAGGTGTTTTTATGTCGACGAGCTAGGCCTTTCAGGAAAGATTGGGATAGTAGTATTACAAAATTAGCAAACACATGTTAGAATATCTAATATTTGTTTCTTGGAACTCATTACTGTCTAAGATCTGAATGCTTGATTTGAAAAGTTATCAATGAATGTAAAGTCACCTGATGATTTTTATATTAGTTTTCCAAATTACTTGTGTGCTAAATACTACATGCAGAATCAATTAAAATAAAGTCCATAATTTTCATCATTCAGTCTCTCTATTTCTCTGTCACTCACTTTATTCCACTCTCTCTCTCATTCTTACCCTCATCCTCCCTCTCTTCCTCCCAATCCCCAGAACTAAAATCATAGAAAAAAGTGATGACACTGAATTTACATCAATATCTGATAGTTAATACTGTGACCTACATATTCGGCCGAGGTCAGCGAGGTCGCAGCACACACCACCAGAAGGAGCGCCGCTTGCAGTCGCCCGCCGCCCATGGTGGATCTTCCAGGAATGATGCACTGTTGATAAAAAAAGACGAAGAAGAATAATTACCGAGGGAGTTGGCGAATAACAGCTGTGTGTGACTGCTATAAGAATAGGAGCGGCGGCTTCCGATAATGTTATCGCTGTTGTTTTTTTCTGCTGCTGTGTTAAGGAAGGGCGGGTAGCGGGATTTTGCGATATTATAGTGAAGGTAATAGTCCTCATGATAACGATAGTGTCGCACCCAATAACGTGTGTGTGTGTGCACGCAAACACACACTGATCAACTTTTATGGCATGTGCAGAAGGCGCTATGAGGGGCAGGCATTAAAGTTTTTGCCTGACCCGCTTCCTATAGACAAACAGGAATGAAACTGCTTAGTTATTAGCCTCTACACGGGTCTCGCCAAGAGTGACACACTTCTCCCATCGGTTCATGCAGCTGTGGACTTATCGCCTGTCCGTAGGTTATGTTTGAAGACCCAAAGTGCTCAGAAATAAATGCCTCATCATCTTGGTAATGCTTGCCCTTCAGAAATTACTTCATGGCCGGAAAGAGGTGAAAGATGGTGCAAGTGAATAAGTAGGATGAGGAAGGATGTCATAGCTACAGGACCGCGCTTCTATCCGGGCAATGGGGAGTTGTGAACAGGGATGTTGTCTTGTAGGAGGCGGACACCTTCGGTCAATATTCCGCGCTTCTTGGTTTTGATAGGTTCCCGCAGTTTCTGTAGCAGTGAAGTGTTGTAAGCTCTTGTACTTGTAATACAATGTTCCGGTATATCCATCGTCACCAATTCATGCTGGTCCCAGAAGACTGTGAGCATGACATTGCCTGCCGGGGGAGTGACACGTGCCTTTTTGGGGGCTGGTGAGTCAAAGTACTTCCATTGTTTTGACTGGGCCTTACTTTCTGGATCATAGTGATGGACCTAAGTTTCATCCTGCATCATTAGTTTGTCGAAAAGTCCAGGTTTTCATGGCACGAGGCTAAAAGAGCTTAGGAGAAATGGACTCGTTCTTGATTCTGGAAAGGCTTTTTTTCTTAGTTTTAATTCCATTTGTTACAATGGATATTCTTTGCTATGACATACTGTCTGTTTTATTTGTTACAAGGCGTGAGTAGCCTGGGACCCAGTCACACAGATTTTTGCAAGTGGACATGAATGATTTTATCCACAGACCCAACACTAATCTTGACACATTGGGGTAGCCTACGAACCGTAATACGGCGATTTTCCTCATCAGTGGCAGACCTGCTGTCACCCTGGGATAGGAGCCGCTTCCACAGATCTCCGACTGCACCTGAACTGGCGATGACAATGTTTGATGTTATATGATGGTGCTTCCCCTCCAAAAGATGCTTTAATTTCATTGAAAGTGATGGTGTGCGGCGATTCAAGTATTTTAAAAGATATTTCATGATAATCCACTGGTTTCATTTTCACACCTTCTTTCACCTTTACCGCTGTAACAAAAAATGTGTCATGCGTTAAGGACTGAAATTCTACAAATGACCTATAAAAATGTGTATCTTTATGCATGATGAATTTCATCCTCCAAGGATTGACAGAAGGAAATCTTAAATCGAGCCCTGTCATCAAGGTCTAAGTACCTAGTACCTATATAGACCTAGCCTACCATGACTGTCAAAACACAATTTACAAAAGACCCAGAATCCATGAATTAGAAGAAAAAAAATGTTATCCAAACACACCAATATCCCCAAAAGACCCAGAATCCTTGAATTAGAAAATATATATATATATATATATATATATATATATATTGTTATCCAAACACACCAATATCCCAGACCACTCGCAAAAGAAAAGTTACACAAATCAATATTAATCCTGCTTCTTGACTTACCTGTCCCAATAGCTGAGCCAAGACTGAGGAGTTTTTTAATTAATTAAAAAGATTAATTAATTGATTAAGGCGATAACAAACATATGCAACAAGGAATTATGAGAAAGGATTTTCACTTTTTTAGCAACCACTGAGATTATAGGGTTTACTATCGTTATCTGTGTCAGAATGTTAAGGGGGATTAAGGTTTCAAAAATAGGTTTTGATAAGGCCAGGTACGTGGAGATAGCTAGAGATAGTCAGGAAAAATGACGTGATACGGTCAAGAACATAAAAAAAATCATGGAAAAAAGTTCGAAAAGGTCACATGTATGTGGAAAAATTTTTGTTACAGTTATTCTTAAAAAAAAAAAATCTCGAGGTCATTTAAGTAGTAAAAAAAGGTCATTCTAAAAGAATTATAGTTAAGAGAAAGTGTCGATTGAGTTTAAATGTAAAGAAAGAAAAATAAGAAAAGACAAAAAAAAAAAAAAAAAAAAAAAAAAAAAAAAATATATATATATATATATAATATATATATATATATATATATATATATATAAAAGGATAAGATAAAAAAGGTTCCAGGTAAGATCAGATATATAAAAAAAACTTGTCGATTATTTATGTAAAAAATAATAAATAGATAAACGAAATAAAATGAAAATAAACTTTGAAAATAAAAATATGGTATAGGGAATAATCCGATTCCGTATAAGTCACTACGAACATGCAAACATACATACACACAGATACGTACATGTTTTTTATTTAGACCGAATTAGCAATGTTATGTTTTTTTTTTTTTTTTTTTTTTTTTTTTGCGAGTCACAACCCCCCCCCAAAAAAAATAATAATAATAAAATAAAAAAAACCAAAATTGTCCCATGGAACAAATTTACGTGGGTTTTCGCAGATAATAAATACATATATGAATATGAAACAGATCAGATATCTGAATGAATAGTGAAGCAAATGCATATATGAATATGAAACAGATCATAGATATATAAAACAAACACATGAATGAAGAAATGAAATAAAATGCCGCTTGTGTTTCTCGCTCTTGGACCACTCTGCCCATTCGTTGAGGCAGAATGGTCCAACGGGGAAGGCTAGATCAGTAGCAACACGAGGAGGTGTCGTGGCATCTATTCTGATGATCGTTCAATGAAAATATATCCATTAAAGTCATTATTTTCCATCCTTTTTCATAATTAAATAATTAAATTGATAATTAAATTGATAATTAAAGAGACCAAAACGATCGACCGTTTTCACCAAGCATCCGTAACCCTTGTGACGTCATCAAAATAAACCCCACGTGCTTGTTTCTAAAAATAGAATCGGACGCCATGACACCTCGAGTTTGCTGCCGATCTAGCCTTTTCCAAAGTCCAACTAAATCACTATAGACTACCTCAAAACTACATTTTATCT